CTACTACTACTAGCTACAATTCGCTTTACTTTATCCATTAACTACAATTTTCCTTAGTTTTCTTAAATCTACTAAATTCTTTTATTTTTCCTAGATATAATTTTTCTAACTTATTTATTAAGTTGTCTAGGTCCTGTTTTATTGAATTATCTCTTTCCAAGGTTAGTATTCCACTTTCTAAATTGTCTAAGTTGGTCTTTTGTAGATTATTACAAAAAATTTATAAATTTTCAGTTTGTTTCAAAGATTTTTCTTAGGGAATTATGATATCTATTTCACTTTTGTGACAGAATTTGTTCTTAAATATTTCACTAATTAATTTTTAATATATTCTAAATTATTTTCTAAAGTTATTATATTTTTATTTAATTTTACTAATATTATTTATATTCTTCTGTTATTTGTTAAAATATTTATTTCTAAACTTTCTCCTAGATTTGCAATCAAATCTACTATAATATTTAACTATTTATCTTTAGTATTGAAAAATATATTTAATTTTTTTTTTAATGAAAATTACAAATTAAATAGATTGTGTCTAAACTGTCTTTCTTTTAAGCATAATTATTATATCCGACCCCTTCGTTGACGTGGACAAATCATTGGGTTATTGGTCAATGGTTCAATCTTTAACGATTGACCAATTAATGTCAACAGAGCCAGATCGATCGGTCCAATCGGACTTTAATAGTCAAAGGACCAATTAATGCCAACAAAGCCAGACTTATCGGTCCGATCAAACTTTAATAAATATTCTTTTAAGATTCTCGAGAAGCTCTAAATTTAAGTAATGTATTCTTTCAATAAACTAAGCTCCTATTTGAATCTGGCAATTTAAATGTTAAAAAATTCGGCGTGCACGATACATTTGTCAGAAATGATAAATTGGTCAATTTCACCCTTGTTTTGTAATTCAATTTCCAAAAGTACCCTCCCATTCTTTACCCTATCATTCTCTCATTCCGGAACCACTGAGAAGTGGGCTCACACATGCTTTCATCTGTACCTATTGACGCAAATAGCTGAAATCAATTTTCGAGTTCCCAATTTGAAACGCCGGAGAACTGATCCGACATATGAGAAGCACCTACCTGTACACCTAAAAATTGTCTTTCATCCAGATCCAGGTTCCCATTTTCGAATTTTTGGATAACTGTCGGAAACAGTTATTCTATTACCATGTGGGTCATCTTGAGGTTCCGTAAAGATCAATTTTGTATAAGGATTGATGATCCTTGTTCGTAAGTCACCAAAAGCAATGTAAAGGGTTGGATTGCACCATAAGTCAGTCAATAAAGTGAAAATGCCTTACTCATGCTGGAGAGCTTGGTAACGAAGGAAGTAATCATTGTTTTGGATCGAACCTCCAAAATTATATCGATTGCATCATCTTTTCCTTTTTACTTATCGTTTTTATATTTGCATTTATTATTTGAATTAATATATTTAGTCTTTACTTGCACGAATTTAGAGTAATTCTTCGAAAAAAAAAATTTAAAAACCAATTCACTCCATTTTGGTTAGTTATTCTTGGGCTATCAAACCTAAATGAGCTTCAGGGTACCTCTTCGAACTAATCACAAGCTGAAACCATTGGACGAAAACCGCAAAATAGAATGACAAAGAGTATAATTTTTTTCTAGCCACTGATGAGCATGTTTTAGCAGAAAGACATTGTAGCAGAAAATACTTTTGAGGCAAGGTTGGGATAAAATAGTAGCATTGTTCAACAAAAACGCTGGTAAGAATTGGAATATCGTCTAGCTGAAGAATCATTGGAGTGTTATGCGAATCAAACACAACCAACTCCATGATTTGCTGTTGAATGATGATAATGAAGCTAACCAGCTGGCAAGTGAGGTGTCATCACAAATCATCCAGATAAGCAGCAATGGAGGTCCAGTATGCAAGGAATGATCTAGAAGAGAAAGGATCTAGAAGGATTCCACCACATGGAGTTTTTTATTTTGTAACCATATTTGATTCTTTGTAATTATTCCCTTTTTTTTGCATCTCGTTTTGTATATATATGTGAAGTTGTATATTCTTTGAAGATAGTATAAATATAATTCAATTGTTAAGCCTTTCCATCTTCATCTTCATCTCCATTTTCATTTGTTATATGGTATAGGGCCAAACCATGGCTGATCAAAATGTGGAAATGCAACAGAATTTTGAAGTCCAAAGTAATTCATCAAATGCTAGTGCAAATCAAAACCCAAATAGTAATCCTGAAAATGGATCTAATTTCAAAACTCTCAACCCAACACATCCAAACAACCCCTATTTCATTGGAAGCAATGATGGTAATGGAAGTGTCTTGGTTACTCACACACTAGAAGCAACCAATTATCATTCCTGGGCCAGGTCTATAAAGCGAGCCCTCAGATGCAAGAATAAGCTGGGTTTTATAGATGGAACACTCTACGAACCAACTGACCAGAACGATCCTCTAATGGAGCACTAGCTTAGATGCAACGATATTGTTATTACCTGGCTCCAGAACACCATGGCAATGGACATCAGGTGCAGCACTGTGTATGCTGAGACTGCACATCAGTTAGGCTGGAGGTCGAACAGCGTTTTGCACAACATAATGCACCTAGGATCTATGAAGTTAAACAGGCCATCATGATCTCTTAGTTCAAATCCAAGATGATGTAAGTGTTTATTTCTCCAAGTTTAAAACTCTCCTGGATGAGCTTCTGAATTATGAGTCCATCCCCAATTGCACTTATGGAGGACTGAAGATAGTAGTTCAGAACCAACAACGAGATTGGGTGATGAAATTTTTAATGGGATTAAATGAATCATACAAAGATATTAAGGCACATATCCTACTAATGAAGCCCTTTTCCTACTTTGAATGAGGTCTATGCTACCATCCAACAAGAAGAGAAAAGAAGACAGATATCAGTAGAAGGATCTGTGAATGAGCATCTATCATTCGTGGCCAAGTGAACTGGAGAGAATGTGGAAAACAGAACTCCTCACTACAGAAGAAAGACTACTATTGCACATATTGTAAGATTGCAAGACACTCCCTCGAAAGGTATTTTAAGGCCAACCCAAATAGTTCTATATGCTCCCATTGCCAAATGCCATATCATAAAAATTGATAAGTGTTTCAAACTCCATGGATATCCATCAACCATCAGATATGATGTAGAGAACAAATACAAACCAGCAGCAAACCATGCCACCGCTACTATATCTCTAAATGACTCAAGAGCACTCATGGCAATTCTGAAACCACCAACAAACCAGGGTCAAAACATCGAAACAAATTATGAGAATATTGTTCCAAAAATCTGTGGTATATCATATTGTTCCAGCGTGCAAGGAATGATCTAGAAGAGGAAAGGATCTAGAAGGCTTCTACCGCATGGAGTTTGTTATTTTGTAACCATATTTGATTCTTTGTAATTATTCCCTTTTGCATCTCGTTTTGTATATATATGAGAATCTGTATATTCTTTGATGACATAGTGGAAATATAATTCAATTGTTCAGTTTTTCAATCTTCATCTACATTTTTATCTTGTTATAGTCAAAAGTATGTTAAAATGGCTACTATTTCATTTTCCTTCTTCTGTTTGGTTATTGATAGGTTGATTTTAATGATATTATGTTATCTTTTTGCATCTTACTTGAAAAATGATTTATAGGAGCTTTGAGTAATTTTTTGGAATGGTGGATTGAAAGCAAAAATAGGAAAATATAGTCATTATTATTTTTGTGTTTTTTGGTTATCTGAGAGGGAAGTGGAGAATTTGTATTCACATTAAAATGAATTTTAATATTGTGGAATGGATAGAATACAATGTTGAGAATTAGGAATACTAAGGTGAGCTTGAATTTTTGAAATGGGAGTCGAGAAAGGTACATAAAGTAACTAATGCAGCAAGTGCATTTTATCTGTTAAATTTTTTTTAAAATGAATGGGATTAAAATTTGTAAATTCCAAATATTTATGAAATCCCCGCTGTTTGAATTTTTATCTGCCTATAAAATTCATAGAATCCCTCTTGATTAAATGAATTGAAGGAGGTTATACATAGTGAAGGCAGAAAGTAAGAGTCTATGCTTGTTAATCCCATTAATGTAGGTGCATTTCTTGCTTAGTTGTGTATAAATTGAGATTTGAGATCGAATTTTTACTGAGACTTTTAATTATACTTGGTTGCAAATTAATGTTTATGATAGTGTTCGTACATTGGAGGTGACGGTGGTGGTGACTAGTGCTAAATTGTGGTATTGGTCACATTTAGTCACAAATTAGACAAATTTGATTAAAATTAGTCATAGACGATTACAGACAGTCATCCCACCCAATTAATAGTATCCACAGCCCACCCACTGCACTAAATTAATAATATATTAATTAATAATACCCCACCCACCACTTGTAAAAAAATTTCAAAAATTGAAAACATTTTTTCGAGATTACCCCCATCCCCTGGCATCACACCCCTCTCTAACTTGTAAAAAATTTTAAAAAATTAAAAATCTTTTATAGAAGGTATTTCACTTTCAAAACTAACCAACTTGTCAAATTATTTCAAAATTCAGATGTTATGACGAAACAAAATTTCAATATTTCATTAAAATTTCAAATTAATTAAATGTTTAATTCCGTAATAATGTTTCTATATATTTATGATATGATTATGGCTGAGGCACTCTTGAGCTGGATTAATATTTTATGTCGTAGGCGGGTCCCATTTCTTTGTCTGTAAGTTGTAATGGAACCTCAAAACCTGGAAGAGATAAGTCACTTCTGTTATGCATCTACCTAAAACACAATCCCAACAAACAAAACTGCATATGTTAGCTTCATTCATTCTCATGCAGACAGTTTCAAACAATCTTTGTCTTTACTTCTTTACATGTAACACAAAAACAAGCAAATTTCGAAACCATTTATAAAGAAAAACTAATATAAGATGCTCAATGTCGAATTTAATCCCTTTCCTAGGCTTATTAATACAAAGTATTATTCACTTGAACCCCATTTTGGTACTAGAAGAAGATGAGTAAAGCAATGATGAAGCCGAGAAGCTCGTGTTGACGCTTCCCTGGTACAAGCTTTGCATTGCTGGTTTTGACGAAGATGTCGCCGGAACTCCAGTCGAGTTCTTATTTTCGTGATTTTCCGGTTGGGGAGAGCCCTTGAGGAGGACATCTACTTTCGCAAACTCTTCTCTTTCATTCTTGATTTCCTTGAGCATTGCAGCCACATCTTTCATAGTAGGCCTTTCATCGGGCGATGAGTTTACGCATAATAAGGCTATGCCCAATACCTGCATCATTTCCTCGATCTCGGATTCGGGTCGGGATAGCAAGCTTCGATCGAGAACTTCGAGCCCTCCCCTTTTCTGCCTTACCCAATCGACTATATGAAGTCCATCAGGTATTGTTGGATCAATTGCTTGTTTTCCAGTTAAGACTTCCAATATGACGACGCCATAGCTATAGACATCAGTCTTTTCTGTGATCTTCATCATGTAGCCATATTCTGAAGAACAAAATTAACAAAATTTCAATCACTTTAACTAATCTTGCTGAAAGAGGGCAAAAAATTAACTACTTAGTTTTGAATTTGCACTTAGGCTCATTTCGTTCGTATAATCTGCAGGTGAAAATGGCAAGTAGAACTGACCAAATAAAAGGCACTCAAACATTGAATATATGGAATAAAAGAAGAAATAGTTACCAGGGGCAATGTATCCATAGGAACCTGCAATTGTATTTGAGGACCGGCCAAAATCGCCGTCCTCAACAAGCTTCGCAAGGCCAAAGTCCGCAATGTAAGGCTCGAATTCAAGACCAATGAGAATGTTATTGGCCTTGATGTCTCGATGGACAATTGGAGGCACACAATCATGGTGTAAATACGCAAGTCCTTGAGCTGCCCCTAACAAAATTTGGTACCTCAGTTCCCAATCCAGCGGTGTACCATTCCTCTCGTGTAGAAGACTGCCTAAACTCCCATTAGGCATATAATCATACATGAGCAATCTCGTGTTTTTATTCCAACAACAACCCAAGAACTTGACAATGTTCTTATGGCGAATTGAACCGAGCGTTTTTACTTCTGCTGAGAAGGAATCACGAACGCCAGGCTTTTCATCATTACATCCATTAGTTGCAGCCATTGTTATGGGCCATAGTTTCTTCACTGCTATGACTTCCCCATTGTCCATATCCGCACGGTAGACAACACCCGAACATCCTTTTCCGATCACATTGGAATCTACTAGGCTTCTCAATACTTCTTGTACCGAAAAGTTGAGTTTCTGGAATGGAGTGAATTGCCAAGGCAATGAATCTCCGATCTCCGATTCATCATCACCTCTAATCGTTCTACGAGCTCGAATTACTGCAATTATTCCCATTATCACCATCACAATTGTCATAGCAATGAGCAATACAATTGTCAATTTGAACCCCCTCGACCTTCTCATCTGACTCCCCTGTTTTGCCACTTCTATTCCTTTAGCATTACCCAAGAAACATGAGTCCCTCCCAAAAGCACATAGGCCTTGATTTCCAGCCAAGTCCGATAGTGTTAATTGGCGAAAGAGCTTGTTATCAGGGAGAAAACCGGTAAAATTGTTATATGAGACATTGAGAGAGATGAGGTTATCTAGGTTGGCAAGAGAACTCAAATCCCCCTGAAGCTTGTTGTGTGAAATGTCTAATATCGAAAGCTTGTCGAGTGCAGAAATTTGGGCTGGAATTTCTCCGGTGAGTCCATTCCAACTCAGGTTGAGAGCTATTTCAAGAGATCCAATTTTACCCAACTCCATAGGAATGCTGCCAGAAAGCTGATTGCTGCTAAGATCAAGTAGTTGGAGACTCGAGCAGAGGCTAAGCAATGAAGGAATTGATCCAGAGAACGAATTCTTGTTCATCATTAGCTTGTTCAATGAAACAAGACGGCCAAAACTCGCTGGAATAGGACCGGAAAATCGGTTACTTGAAACATCAAGAACCTCAAGCCCAGATAGTGATGATAGCGAGTTAAGCAGGGGACCTTCTAATGTATTATTACTTAGGTCCAACATTTGTAACTCTGTGCAACTTCCAATTTCATCAGGCAATGGTCCGGAAAGTCGATTTCCAGAAAAATCAAGAAAATTTAAGCTCTTCAACCCTCCAATTTCTTTAGGAATTCCACCTGTGATCCGATTGTTTCCAAGTCTAAGTCTCACTAGGGAACTACAGTTACCAATATCTGAAGGTAACGAACCAGAGATATCATTAGAAATCAACAAAAGCTTAGTGAGGTTTCGCAGTTGAAATAAACCTGGAGGCACAATACCGGTGAGTGAATTGTGAGACAAATCTAATGCTTGAAGATTGCTACAACTAGCCAAACTGGAAGGAATACTCCCTTCAAGCTGGTTCTGCCAAGCCAAAAACACTTCAAGGTTTGATAATTTTCCTAGCTCAGAAGGAATCAAACCCGAGATCTGATTAGTGTCGAGCTGCAACTGAACAAGACTTCTAGCATTTGAAAGAACAGTAGGAATTGAACCAGACACATTATTATCACTCAGCATAAGTTCTTCAAGCTCAACCAAACCACCAATAGACCAAGGTATAATGCCAGACAAAGAATTCAAGGACAAATCTATAGAAATTAACTTGGTGCAATTCCCAACCTCATCTGGAATTTCCCCAATAAAATTATTTTGCCATAATAACAATTTTTCCAACTTTGACAATTTGCCAATCTCTTTTGGAATTGAACCAGACAGACTATTCTCATACAAATACAAGTTCATAAGCTCAGAGCAGTTACCTATTTCAGGTGGGATTTCACCAGAGAGCATTGTGGTGTATATGGACAATGTCTGCAGCTTCTTGAGCTTGCTTAACGTGGCTGGTAAAGAACCTGAAATCCGCGTATCAGCCAGGCCTAAAACTGTCAAATTGCTGCAGTTTCCGAGCTCATCGGGGATTTTTCCAGCGACATCTTTGTTACCGCCGGCCCGGAGGACCTCAAGACTCGATAATTGGCCTAACTCTGATGGTAAGTTTCCGTCAAGCTTGTTATCGAAAAGCAAAAGGTTCTTTAGGCCTTGACAATTGCATAGCTCAACTGGGATTTTCCCAGTTAATTCATTTGAGTTCAAAATCAAATCTTGAAGGGATTGAAGCTTCCCAATGCTTGAAGGGATTATACCCACAAGACTATTTGAGCTCAAATCAATGACTCCGAGTGCAGTACAATCACCAATTTCTGGTGGAATTATTCCAGTGATGTTTGCATCAGAAATCACCAGTTTCTCAAGATATATAAACGAAGAAAGATTTGACGGCAAAGGGAGCTGAAGAGGGACTGACAGAATATTGATTTCAGTAACGAACCCTCTTGAATTGCATGTTATGTAATTCCATTTGCATGGTGTAGGATCAAGTGCATTCCAGTTTGAAAAAGCGGGTGGTGGTGAAGAAGAAGAAGAGCTGTGCAGCCAAGAAAACAGTATAGAACCCTCATGGCCGGTGGTGGTGGAGGTGGTGGCCGCGGTGGTGGCCGCAGCGGCGGCTAAAAGGGTGGCTAAGAAAGTTAAAGAAAACAAGAGAGGTGATGGTGATGAAGAAGAAAAGTGGTTTTGTTTGAAACTGTTAAGGTTGTAATAAGATTTGTGCCTCGAGCTTAGAGGAAACATTTGCCTCAATTTCCAAAACTTTCTTCTCGGGTTTGCATAATTTGTGTTTTGCTGTTGGTTTCTCTATCTGTGTGTATTTCTTGATTTGAACTCAAACTCAAAACTCCAGACGCTCACTGGAAGAAATATACTAAAGAAATGCTACCAAGAAAGGAATACCTAGAGATTGGAGACCCTGCGTCAACCCACCATTACACACGCTGAGTTTGTCCACATATATATACAACATATACATACATATAATTTCCTGGTAGAATTGATTATAATAATAAGTGTGCTTGCTGAGGGAGTGGGGAGGAGAAACAAACACATGTCAAAGACTCAAAATGAGTTCACTTACGTGTGGGTTGATTGTTTGGGGTTCTTTTAAAGAACAGTTGGCTACGACTCCAAAACTCAGTTTCTGTATTCTAGTGTCCATTCGCCCCCGTCCCCCCATTATTTTATATTATAATAAGAAAAACAGTGATTTTTTGAAAAATTTGTTAAAAAAAAGTAATTTTTTTTGAAAATGTTTGATTGAAAAGAATGGAAAAAATAAATAAATTATAATTTCATAGGAGGAGGGGGGGCTTAAATTTACTGTTTTTTAAAAGTTAATAGATACAATAGACACGGTCAAGACGTCAATCCCTACTCTGGTCTATAATTTTTCTTTATTCCTTTTTCTTGCTCTCTACTTTTTCATTTTTTTTGATTTGTGTTTGCTCCTTTTTGCTGTAATTTAGAGTTTGTTGTGTTATTGGATAATTCGACTAGACAATCTATAGAAGAAAAATGAAATTGAACTAGAATATTAATATAGCACATTGTTAATAATGTTTGTCTAATTGATATTGATATTCATAAAATTTCAACACTAATTGGCAGGATTTAAAGACTTGAAAATAATATGGAAACCATTTTTACCGAATTCAGAGAGATGAATTTTGAATGATGAAATTGGCACTTATCAATCTTGACAGATAGATTGCATCACAACGGATTAGAGTGCAATCATCAACGGTTCAGTTCACAGATTGCATCACAACAGATTAGAGTGCAATCATCAACGATTCAGTTCGCAGATTGCATCACAACAGATTAGAGTGCAATCATCAACGATTCAGTTCGCTCCTTTCTAGATAGTCATTGTCCCTGCAATATGCATTCCAACTTATTGGTCACAGTTTCTCATCGCATCTAATTGGCAATTCTACCAATAACACCCTTTTGTTCACGTCCAACGCGTTGATCGCAAAGCCATTACCACATTTTTGAATGATGGTTACATTTTTTAACAATTTAAAGCTCCTTGTGAGGATACGTACATGCGCCTCTAAAGCGTCTTTCTCTATGTGTAGCCATAGCCCGGACCGTGGGCGTAAGTGGTGCGTAGAACCACTTACATGGCCTGGGGCCCTAGAGTATAGCAAAGGGAATTGTACAAAACTACAACTTAAGAAAGCGCAACACTTTATTTATTTGTCCACCTTTAGTTCATTTCTCAATGTGGGTTATATTCCCTTTATTTAAATCTTTTCAATATAGTATTTTGAAGATTTATTCCAATTCATAGAAACCTTCATTTAGTCAACTTAATATATCAACATAAGCCCCGGCTCATAGCTCAGTGGTTCAAAGGACATGAGTGAGGTAAACTCAGTTGAGCTGGCAGTCGCAGTGTGAAGGTTCGATTCCTACCTCTTATAAGGTATGGATTGAACTATTTGTGGACAGTATGGCAACTCCTGTACCCTGACTTGTTGAGGCACATTCCGCCATTTACCTATTCCACAATGCTCTAGGGATGGGGTGGTGGGGGACCATCAACGCTGGGGTTCAACCTTTTAATATATCAACATAGTCTCCTCAACCACAAGAATTAAGTATCACCTAATTAAAACGGTTATTAGACATAGAATCCACCTAAAAAGTCACTTAAAGTTGACTAAAAATTCGTTACCAAAACATTTTAATAACCTCATTTAATTCCAATACGTTACACGACAATTATTGAAATGGCGATAAGTAAATGTTGTATGTGCCCTTGTCAACATTGAAGACCTTGAGACGGACAATGAAGCCATTATAAATACACAATACTCGCCATCTTTGTTAAGGTTGACAAGGTGAAATAGGACAATAAATACATCATAACTACACTATACTCGTCGACCTCATTAAGGTTGACAAAAAAGATAGGTTTCCTTATAAATTGTATTTTTTTATCTCTACAAATGTTCTAACTTGTTCTCGATTATTAACATTTGAAATCTTAATATCACAAAACTAAAACCTTGAAGCTTTCATAGAGGCTTGTGTTGGTCCCAAATTAATCCAACCATTACCAATAACACAAAAATAAAAATAGAAAACGGTAAAGAACTCCAGTACTTTTCGTCTTTAGGTTCGGATGTTTAGCGAATCTAGTTCCTAGTCACCCATGGAGCATAAAGATTGACATTGGTCAAGTACACAAGCACTATCAAATTGCTGAAACAATGCAAGGTGTCGCCATCTCAGAAAGAGGCATCCCCAGCCAGTGCAAAACGTGTTTCTCCAAGTAGCACTTTTGATCACAATTTACAATCAATTGATAAGTCAGAACTGGATCAAAATTTTGGTCAACAATCTCCACCTTTAATCCAATTGGGATACCACAATATAGAATTGATCTCCTACCTCAGTGGCCTGGAGTTATCTTGCACACCCACTTATATGAGGTTGCCACGTCAACAAGTCAAATCTTTTCTTTATTAATAAAAAAAAATACGGCTTGACCACTGACGTGACAATGCCACGCCAACGGTGGGTATTTGTTATGCTGCCAACTGGGAACATGAAATCATCTGTGCATCACAATACACGTGAGGCTATCTAATGTATTCTTCATTTTCTCACTTACATGCTAACAAAGTATTTCAACCAGAGTCAATGTTCAAAAATTGTAAACAATAATTGAACTTGACAATAGCAAAACTTTTGTTCCCATATTTATTAGATTAACCTTAGTTGAAATCTTACCAATCTACACTAAGGTCTAAGAACACTATTGGAATATTGTAAGATGAGGTTTAGTGTAGACCATAAAGTACATGATTGAGCCAACATCATTAGCATATGGAATTCTTTCTATCCTTTTATAGCATTATCTGATTTGTGTGACTGATTTGAAGAAAGCTTAAAGTGATTTCTTGAAAGCAAGTCACAATTTTTGACCGTACAGAATTTCTCAAGAATCTAAGAGAGTTTGGAGCACGAGAACACAATATCTCTATCTTTATATCTCGCGTGCTTATTTTGTTGGTTGTCTTTATGCGTGTTAAGTCCAAATTATAATTAGCAATTTTCAAATTTATAATTGACAATCTTTTTAGTCAAAATAATATCTTGATTGAAATATATTAGGAGTTTATCAAATTATAATCAAAATCAAAATAGGACTTATTAAGTCTAAGTTATAATAAAAATAATTTGGGGATGATAGAGTCCAAAAAGTTAAAAATAAAATAAAATAAAAATAAAAATACAACAAGAAGATCAAGATTGTGGCTTTAAGAAGTTGATTCAAAAAATGACTCACCGATGTTCGTTGTCTACGAGTTTGGTGCAAGCTCGCCTAGCGAGACACTAGCGCTCAAGCGGCAAATCGAGATTTAGGTTTTTTATTTCGCGTAAAACACTTATTTTTTATCCGATTTTCATCACAAACACTTCCAAATAAATATACAGCATCATGAATGTCACAAAGTGTGTTGAATCATTATATTACATTAGATATCACACTATTGAAGATCCAAATACACGTTGATTCTTAAATTGAACACAAGATCAAAATATCCATATATAAGTCTACGGCAGTGTTCTAAAAAACTCATCTAAGCACGGCTCGAAACTCGGGTGAGCAAAACTCCTCACTTCGAGCTTAGGCACTTTTTTTTTCCAATTCCTAAAATGCTGGATTTTTTCCTTCAACTATTTCGTCTTCTCTAGGCGCTCTTCTTTTCTTTCTAAAGTTCTTTTATATAACTTTAGTTTATTAATTTTTTTTAAAAAAAATCTTTTATTTGACTTTAATTTCTAGTTTTTAAAAGACTTTATATCTACAAAAGTCAAAAATGACTTTATCTAATAAACATTTAAATAAGATTTAAGTTGTGGTGTTATCTACATTATGTAACTATGATTTTGAAACTCATTATTTTGTTGAAAACTTCGAATACATGTATAAAGTTCCTATAAATTTATTAAGTATGTCTTGTCTGGTTGAAAATTGAAAGTATGAAATATAGTTTAATTTTTGCATTTCTAAAACATGAAAATTGTATAATTGACTAATTAAAGGAACTATTAAATAAATATAGTATTTTACGATTTTAAATGTTTGGTATGTTTTATTTTAATTATTAAATGATTAAAAATTTAAAATAATATTAAACATAAGAAAACATTGTTTTATGCTTAGACCTCGCACAAGCTCGCTTAAACTCATAAAACTTGAAGTTTTATCTTCATGTCTAACCACGCTTTACATTTTTTAGAACATTATTCAAGAGAGTATCATTTGAAAGCCATATCCATATTCAAATATTTCTGGCATCGACCTATAGATCAAATATAAAAGATCATTAGATCAAATACGTACCAAAACAAAACCCTACCTTCACCAATTAGCCTTCAAAGACAAAGTTCGTTATTGTTAATCCACACGTAGAGAAAAGTAGCCCAGAGTTCTAAGAAATGTAGGAGTGCACAATTGAAGGAGTTCCTCGATGATTTATAAGTTAAATGGCCAGAATCGGCTAAAGTTTAGTAGTGTTGGATTAATTGTAAGTTAATTTTTTTAGTAAATTTTACTAGCAAGTTTGCCCCGAGGATTTTTATCTAGCTAGGAATTTTCCTCAGTAATCAAATTTGGTGTAATTTATCTATTTATTGCTTTGATTTGAATGTTGGTGATGGTTTAAAGATAGAAATTAATTGAATATCTTAATAATCTAGAAACAATTAATAAATGA